CCTGTACAACTTATAGTTTTTTTTGAAGTATTAATGTTTAATAATTTGTAATGGGAGTCAATACTGCCCACTGCCGTATCTACTCAGTACTGAACCATAGTTTAATAATATTTTATCTCAATAGTTCAGTGGCTACAATACTAAAATGATTGTATTTTGATGTTTTACTATAATGTCTTAATACTACTCTATTGTTGTAATATTATGCAGTTAAGTGTCAATAGTTGAATTGGCAATGTGGCCTCTTTCTGCACACATACAAACCAAACCCTGGCACCACACTTGGCCACAGTTCCAATGGTCTAATGGTCTGTGCCATGGGCTTTCATGTGGGAGATCAGGGTTCAAAACCCAGCTAAAGCAACTTTAACAGACAAATCTCTACAAACTTCATACTGTCACACAGTTACCCTCATTAGAGACACCTGCTGACTTGACAAGCAAAAGCTGGTATAGAAAACACATTTGAACTTGGTCACAGTTCATTCTGCAAGTCCACTGCTGCAGGCAATAACATGCTACAAGGCAATGCACACTTGTTTTTACATGTTAAAACCCATGTCTAGTTAATATTGTTGTTGTTGTTACAGCCTCCAGTTCTTTCAGACATCATTTACAAGTCAAATAATCTTATTTTAAACAAAAATGACAATGAAAATCGAAATTTTATTCAAATTTCTCTCCTCCAAAGCAGCAGGACCGGATTAAAAGGCTTGAAACCTGATGCGACACGATAACCACAAAAGGAAATCCTTTTGCAGACCAAGCTAATCGATAACAAAATCAATGACGCAACGGAAATTTTTCTACTATTTTTAGAGATTTTACAGGGTGTAAGTAATTTTAAATACATAATTATCAGTATATGTTTGATTTTTTTGTATCGTCCTGTGTTTTGAGGAGATTTTCAGCCAAACATTTAGGTTACGATACGGTTCCATCGACTGTTCTGTGCTCGACTGATCGTGTCTGTTTAAGATGGCGCCGTGAAGCCCACGGTTTGTTTTCCTAAGTGCAAATGTTTAAGTGCATTAACCGAGCGGCCCGCTTTACAACAAGGCACCTTCAGTCAACAGGAAGCGACGTCTTTGCTTTTCCAAATCTTAGGTGAGTGTTGCGGAGCGAACACTTCCGTTTGTCTTCAGTTACACGAATTATTTTCTCCTAAAACGACGAGCTGATTAGCCTGAAAGCTGCCGCTAGCTGTTAGCTCCGTGTTGAAGCCGGTGTGTTGACCTAGCTAACCCCGGCTCTGGCTGCTAAACCTGACAGTGTTAGCTGTCTCGCAGTGGCTCTAAGTTTTACTGCAGTTATGTGATTAGAGATTTTACATTTCATCAACTACACTGTCAGCCTGACAGATAATTGTGTTGAACTTTTCTGTCACTGACTAATCGAGATAAACTGCTTATTTTTATGTTCTTCACCAGTGGCGTCACTAGGCCTATTTTAGGGGGCTGGAGCCCACCTCAAATGTTTTAAAGCCCCTCTAAACTATTTTGGTGTAAAAAAATTATTTTAAATAGAAATTCAATATGATGTGGTCAGAATAAACAACCAATTAATATGCCATATAT